AAAAAGTTGAACTTCAAAAGTAAGTAAAAGACTGCAAGCTTCGCGTCGGCGTAGCGTGCACTCATCAATCAGACGCGTCCCATACGCTCGCGGCAGCTTCTGCTGCCCGCCTCTTCCGAAAAATTCAGAACAGAGGATATTTACAGCGGGCACTAAATAATGGTCCATAAAATATTGCAGTATTACTCACTTGAATTCTTCGTCTTTTCATAGAAAGCCATCATGGTTTGTTTAGGTAGAAAAGTAACTTTTGCCAACCTGAAAATTTCATTTCAATTTCAAAATTTTGAAAAGTTAAGCAAGTTTTGAGCTAGTACCAACGAAAAACTAACTTCTCTTTAGCGGTGTGTATATCATTCTTCTCTTGATCTGTCGGCAAGCATAAAACATTCGATAGAAACGTGTTCGCCTTTAGTGATTGCCATCCGTAATGTTGTTGTTTTTCCAGGGAATCCAAGTTGGTGGTTAGATGGTAGTCAGGTGGATGATTCTGAAATCAATGATTGCTGGCTTGGCTAGAAGTAAATACACGAAAATGGGGATTACACCAAAAGATGCCATGGAGATGAACGGAAGAACGGTTGGCTCAGCACACCCACACAAAAGGCCCTTGAGAATCCATGGCTCCCATATGTGCTAAATGTGGCGGTGTCCAATCGGAAACCCCTCAGACAGGACGTGATAAGGGTTCGAAGACTGTATCCGCTGTATGCCACACCCAGAGGTGGTCATGTTTCAAAGACTCTGTAGAGGCTGTACCATTCACAATGGAGCGCACATGTTGAAAATGAAAGAACTAGTCGTAATCCATGGCGACAGTGGAAAGCATTGTTGGCCGACGGGTGACGGTACTTCTTCCCAAATTCCCGCTGCAAGCGGCAGTGGTTCTGCGGCGACCTCCGTTTCCTTCCACCGAGAACTCAAAACATTCCCTCGCGCGACTGCGTGCCATAAGGCGCGGCGAGCGCGACGCGATTTTCTGGGGGAATTTACCACCCTCGGCCGACTGTGGCCGGCTCGCAATAGCACACAAATGCCAGTTCTTCTAACCTCCTCTATGCCTAATTCTGCCATAACAATCTCGTACAACAACCTTTGTAATAGTTTTTCGAAACCTTTTTCCCTGAAATTCACGGATGTTTACGATTTCTTCATCACCTTTGCACTATTCCACCCTAAGCTTCATTACTTCAGTTGTTTATCTCAAAATGGCATTAACGCTGCCTCCAACGGCCTCTAATGGCCACGAAGAGGACGTGCAGTCACGGACCGCGACCTGAGGTGTGCCTGAGCTTTATCCCATTAGGGAGGTGTAATCAAGTTACAATCATTTACGGCGAAGATGATATTAGACAACATACCTCTCTAGCAACTGGTAATGGCAAATCTTTTGAGAGATTGATTGTTCTAATCATATCGTGAGAAACATAATCAATATCGGTAATATTGGCCATAAAATTTTGTGCATTCGGTGGACCAAAATCATCATTTTCTTCCTGGAATATTATCTGCTGAGAAAGGAAACGAGAAGTAGCGCTTGACATTATGAGGTAGGGCTAAAATACTTGGAAGGTATACGAGACTTCTGGCCAATGGTATGATTCTCTTCCTCGCACTGAAAGGGAAGAGACAAACGGGGATAAATACGAAAAGAGGAACCTTATCACCCCATCCCATAGTTCCCCTTTCTCCTTATACTTTCTTATTACTGTAGGAAAACGAAAGTCGTCGTCTTGCATGGTTTCTGCCAGAAAACTGGGGCTACCAAGATTTAGTATCTCTTTTCTGACCAATACAGTGAGTTTAGTTCAAAATGTTTGCGAAAAAACTCGGAAAAAGTAACCAACAGTTAAACAATTACCTCCGTAAAGAACTTTCCTGCTTTATAACACTTGCCTACAGGTGGCTGTACTGTTTCGTCTGACCTGAAATGGAACAATCTGAATCCAAGCGTATCGCTTCACTTAGAGACACTGGTGAATAGGAGAGTGTAACAAACATAGCACAAATAAGAAGAAAAGGAGATGAAGAGCCAACGAGCGATGCGGGATAGGCTTTCTACGAAATTATCGATGTATAGCTTCATCTTATCTCATCTTCAACCTAACGTAGACGATGTTCATGAAAAACGAACTGGTACCTGATGCTCCTTTTACGTTAAACGGAACGAATATCTCCGAATGCTCTAGCTATGTGTATCTAGGTCGGGAAGTCAACATGATGAACGACGCGCCGCGTGGGGAGCATTTAAAAGTACTGAGGGAGTAGTGAAGAAGACAAAGAACATCCGGCTCCGCGTTCACCCTTTCACACTGCTGTTCTTCCTGCTTTGATGTACGCCTCAGAGACTTGGACTCGACGAAAGCCGGATGAGCATGCTGTCAGTGTTACTCAACGCGCTTTGGAAAGGACGACGCTCGGAATTTCCTTATACGCGCAAGTACAGAAGAGAATCCGGAGTTCCGAGCTCCGTCAACGAGCGAAGATCAGGGATGCCGTGACTACGCCAAGAAATCGAAGATCAGATGGGCCGGACACATTATGCGATATAGTGATGACCGTTGGACCAGGGCGATTACTGACTGGATCCCTCGGGACGACAAATGAACTCCAGGAAGGCCGCCAACGAGATGGTCAGACTTCAGGTCAGAAACTCTGAACGAAAGGAATGTTGAACCTCGTGTCCCTGAAGCGAGGACGATTCACTGGACCACTCTGGCTCGTGACAGGGACGAATGGAGACGTTACTGGCGCCCGCTCGAGGAAGTCGATGATCAACAGGACGACAGCTGATACAGGTGACAGCTTCATCTTCCGTCTCTTCTCCACTTTCAGGTAAGGTGTAGGAAAAAGCAGGGGAAAAAGGTAAAGACAAACGTCGCGAGAAGGGTAGATAAAAGTGAAGAGAGGAACAAACATAAAAGATCAGCTTGAATTTAGGAAAAGATTAAAATAAAACAAGCAGAAAAAAGGAAAGGAGTACGAAAAGACGTCATAGGCTGCTTTCATAGTCCGCCGGACGGCCGGGTGCCACGAGGCAGTGCTATGGGGGAGGAGGGCCGGTCGGTTGAGGGGTGGAAAACAAAGAAGAACAAGATCAAAAACCAAACAACCATGGGCTCGTACAAATGGTTTTTGATCTTGTCTCCCCTTGTTTACAGCCCTTAGAGAGGCTAATCGACCGTCTGCCGCCCTCCTCCCCCCAAGCACTGCCTCGTGGCACGCCGGCCGGCCGGCGCACTATGAAAGCAGCCATAGAATGAGTGGGGGAAACAAATGAACAGACAGAAGGGAAAAAAACAGATGCAAAAAAGAGGATCAAAATGAGGAATGAAGAGGGAAAGACTAGGATCAGGGATAGAATATGAACGACGTTGCTAGCCCAAATCCATAGTAGAAAACGGCGAGTGTAAGGGTCGAACCGGAATGTTCTAAGGACCAATGGTAACATATCCCGCGCCGGTTGAGGGTTGGTGCTACTGAAAACCTTCCGATCGGTAGAGTCTTACTGTGCTCATCGGCAATCAGCTACACTGCTGGAGCGTTGTGCTTTCGAGGTGGGCTACATAAGAGATCGTAGAATACACCGACCAGCAAAATTTTGAGATTTCTGGGTCCCATCAGAGGATTAATAATAGATTTTGTGGGCCCATGCCTATTCATCAGGAAAATTCCGCGGTTGCTCCTCCTCTTTTATGGGAGCACTCGCTAACTTCTAACCTTTCCGCCCCTTCTCTCGTGAAGTTTGACCAGATTATGAAGCTGCTGTTTCGCTTCTTTGGTTGTAGTTCATATTTTTACTATCCACTATAAGTAATAATCAATACCAAGTAAACTAAAAGCAGGAAAATGGGCTCTTACAACGTCTGTGTTTGTTTGATAGCTTCTGTGCTGGGCTTCTTTGCCAGATTGCCATGTCGTAGAGAATAAACTTCGTATATAGTGTCGTCCAGCATTGAATCCCTATTACCTAAAATAGTAATCCAATTCAGAAAGGACAGTAATGCTGAAGGCAGCTAATTACAGTCAGTTGCACTTTACAGTGTAAACAACGATAGTTACAAGAGTAATCACCGTTGTTTACAGTGTAAAGTGTAACTAATAGAAGAGAAGGCAACTTCTTCCCAGGAAAAGCTCAATGGGAAGATTGATGTCTTTTCCATGATCAATTGGTTCATGGAGCTTCACTTTGATAGACTGAATAGGTTAGTTATGGGAGCAACTTTTCAGGAGGGCATTGAAACATTTCGAACGACCTATGGATTACTTCCTCCTCTTTTTGCCTATCTTCTCTTTATATTTATTATACATTCCCACACCCAGGCTTTCAGAAACCTATCCAGCTTTACGCCATCGGCGCGTTCCTGTTTTAGTGGAGCCAAACTGATCTCGCTCGTTCTCCCTTGCAGGATTCGCTTTCTCAATACTTTTCACCGTTACAAACGTACAGGCCTCATAACAGGTATCGCTGTGGGCAAGTATCGGATCGCTGTCTTTGAGTAATATTACGAATATGAAAAAAGAAGCTCTACCTACAACATTATTCGAAAGAACAGTACTCACTTGGTTTCTTATCGGCTGTTTCGTTTTTTACCTCATTCATTTTACCAAGTTTATTGGCCATAGCTGGGTTTGGTTCTTTGCCAAGCGCTTTAGTCACCTGAATACAAAGGTCTTGTCATATATTGAACATATCAGATAGCTCTGGCTTACCTCAGTTATCCGAGCAGCATCTTTGCGAGTTTTGTCTTCCTTGGAATCCTGAAGTGACACAAATTCTCACTACTACAGTCTGCTCATAACCATATCAACAAAAGAAGGGATTGTGACCCATCTATGAGCCAAAACATCCAAGTAGATGTCACCTGGACATCGACATGGACAGCTCTGCCTTTTCATAATGCAACCAAAGATTAAATTTGATAGCAAACACAATCATATATTCTTACCTGGATCGACACCGCTGTTTCCAGCTCGCTTTTGTACTGTAATATGAAGATTTACTGGTGAGACTTAGATATTTTATCAGTATCCCACACAACGTAATCAGAATGACCATTGATTGGGAGACGGGCGTTAGGAACGATTTTCTGTAACCGATTGGCCGCACGCGGCTGTCGCGGGCTTCGCTTCGCCGTTATTACAGCTCTGGCGTCCTTCCTACAGCTCAATCGATATATTACCCTTATTTTAGTCATGATTCCACTGTTTATTCTTTTGTTCCTGTATTTCTCAATAGCTGCTGCATTCTGCTACATTCCTTCGCGCGCGGTGTCTCTCTCGCCGCGACGCGACAATTTCGTTCCTACTGCACCACACCCTACTGATTTTATGCGCGCCAGATCAATATATATCCCAAATTACGACTAAGTGACTGGGAATTCAAGCCAGCTGCAAACAAAATTCAATTGCAAAACTAACTCTTTCGCACCCACCTTATTCGACGGTCCTGTTTCGAGGTCGGTTTTGGTCTGATATTGGGAGGTTCGAGGTTAGCTCCAAAACATCAGAAAGCTATCGACTCCGGGCAAAACAAGAGAATGTTTAATTGCAGTGTACCTCTTTACTTTTTAAGCCAGCAAGAGGGTTTGAAACGTCGCAATAGACTGGGAATGCGATACATCATCAGAGTGGTCGTGTGAAAACCATGTACTCGGAAGAAAGAGGTCTCAGACATGGTGTTGTTACGTCGCTCTACAAATCAGGTTTGGCGGTATATAGTTCGCCATGACAATGTCACATGCCAAGCCCACAGAATCCAGGATTCGCTCCTCGACATAACCGCAGAACCCCTGATCGAGAACTGTGTTTTCAGAGACACAGCGAATGTCTCCTAAGCGTCGCTGCAGCCGTATCGAAGTTGCTTCAGCGTGCGATGACCTCAGATGTTCGACGTCTTCTGTGGCTACTTTCATAGTTCGACGACCGTCCGTCCGTCCGTCCGTCCGTCCGTTCAGCGCGTGCNGGCGGTCGCTAGAGTAGTGTTGACAGCGCTGGCACGTGATCCAGTGTTGTCGACAACGGTCAGGGGCCGCCGTCGCAGCACGCGCTGAATGGACGGACGGATGAATCGTTGAGGTCTGAAAGCAGCCTGTGGGAAACCAATCAATACTCATTTCCAAGAGCACGCGAAAGTGTGGCGAGCTAAAGTGTGAATGCCATCTCAAATGACGTAAGAGTGGATATCAAAGATCCGCCGACGATCAAAATCAATCGGCCGTAATCATTACTGATATAGAGTCCAACTAGGCAAACAACCTATACCATAGTATTAGCTTACCGGTTCAAGGAGGGTTCATTGCAAGGGGCACAGTGCACTGATCTAGTCAGCTTCATCACCCAAAAGTTCTCGAATTCCGTTCCCCTTGTCCTGAGTGCCAAGGTTATTTCCGGGTGGTACGAGACTGATAGGACCTCGAGTGCAGCCGTATATCAATGGACTCGCATAAGAGAGTGCAGCCTAAGTACAGCCTTCAGAGTCGAAGAGAGTTAATGGACAGGTTGAACGATAACAGCAGATGACCCAGTAGAGGTGAAAAGTACCAGTACGAGTCAGTCCAAGCGCCTAGAAAGGAAGACCGACTGAATCAGGGAAGAACTCACACCAGATCGCGTTGACCCAGAATGTTTTCGTTTACTCCGACTTGGAAGACACATTACTGGAACATTTGAATCATAAGATTGTCCATCAGATATACGAGGTTCCGTTAAAGACTACTCAACCTCACCGATATTAAGAGAAACATGAAAAGCAGCAGCGAGTAGGAAGAGGTACATGAAGTAACTGAACCATACCTTCTCTAACAAGACTAACAACTCCATGACTTTATCAAGGATAAGGTTCTATCCTCAAAAAATCATTTCTAAAGAATAGTTATCGTTCGTAGCAGAGATGTGTACAGCCTCCCAGTCAATTCAAATGGTCAAAAAAGACTTTCGCTCAACCTTGCATCGCTACTTCAGCGACCGCCTTGAACCCAATGGAACCCTTGAGTGTACATATTCATGTAGAACCCTTTTTTCATGGTACTTCTTGCTTTCACTGATACAACTCTACTCAATGAATCATACGTTCAACAGGGGCACACCAAATGAGTCATTACTATATCAATCTAAAAGCAAATCTATGTACTTTGGAAGCACCCCCAAACATGACATTTGCACTACATTAAAAAGGTGCTCGAAGAAGCGATAAGCTTCACCGGTGGCACGAAGCGTATTTACAACCCGCGGAAGGGTATNTTGGGAAAAAAACCCTTCAAGAAAGAGAAGAAGAACTCACATCGACATCAAATCAATTCGAACCCTGTGGTAGAAATACGAAATTGAAGGTCTTCATGTCTCCTTTCTATCGGACTATCTCCAACAAACAGTCAAGCAAAACATTCTGCAATTTATGTACTACTCAATGAAGGACTACTAAGGAGGACAAGAACATCATGGTAACACTTCGCGAAAACATCAAACATCAACAAAAAAAATCAATAGAATAGTTTATAATTTCAAGGTTTGCAGAAAACAGGCTTTGCAAACATACAACATCAGAAGCAAAATCACACCAACTTATAAACCAGAACTATTTACTCTTGATATTGGCCAATAACAATAACAACGTCAACAAGCGGCAACAACAACAAACTTTGAAACTAAATAGAAAGAAAAAATATATGAACTTCTGAAGAGGTGATTTCGATAAGCGAATGAAACTCCTATGAAACTTTCACCAGACTCCACAGCTCTTCAAATCTTCAAATCACAGTGCGAGTCGTTTTCTTAACACGCTCTGACCAGCAACGATTGGAAAAGAAAATCGGAACAAGGACTCCAGAATACAGCGCATACGATATCGGGTTATCTCTAAGCCAATGAAACTCAAGGATGAATACTGAGCTCCAATAAAAGGTAGTAAGAGGCAGCTGTCGTAATAAGTCGTCCCCCTCAACAACGTCGAGTTAATCTAACATTTTTTGTAAATTTCTCACGAATCTTTTCTAAGAAGCTTTAAAGAATAAAAGAAAAAAGACCATAGATTTCTGGGATTCTGATATTCATCTCAACATCTATCTTAGAAGATATTTAGCTGAAGTAGGAGGGTGGAAAAGCTTTCAGTGATTCAACTTACATTGTGAAGGGATAAGCTAATACTTGTAAGTTTGCAAAGTACGATGAGATGAAAGCAATTATTAATTCGGGATATATCAGAAATGCAGTTACAAGCTGTGAAATGACTGTAGCATGCATGCGGAGATGGAGATTGAGGGTTTTTTTGCAAAAGCTTGGTGCACGCCTAATATCCTAGAGTGCTACGCAACCGCACGCTTCCTTAATATGGACATCGATTCATATAATGACATTACATTAGGAGCAAATACCAGTATACAGCGTAGCCATATCTAATTCAGGGTGAACCCCTGAACTCGAAAAAAAACTCGCACAGATTTCACTCCTGATATCCGTATTTATGCTCAAAATCGGGCTTCCTCTTCGCTTCTTTGCGAGCTTCTTTCTTCGCTTTTCTCTTCATGTAATTATCAAGCTTATTATCCTTCTTCAATTGTGCAAACTTCTTTTCCATTTGCATCAATCGAACCTTTGCTGAAACAAGCACCAGTAAGGTTTGGCTGCTCGCAGATTCACGGCAAGCATAACCAGTATCCTACCTTTCGTCTTGAAAACAGGTCTTTCTCCTCGCATCATACGTTCAATGTTCTCCTGACGCAGCTCCTTGAACGTTTCCTCCTTCAACTTCCGTTCAGCCTTTGTCCGTTCACGATTATCCATTCGACGAATAGCCTTAGATTTGCTCTTTTATGTTGTCGCTACGTCCAAGTAGTCAAAGTGAATTCATAAAATATTTTAATTTAAATGTTTATCACTAAAATAGGAATGTGGAGCATTAGTTTAGCATTTCCTGAATATATTCCGTGGCACTCGATTCCCATGCAGAAAATTGGAGACCCTTTAATGCTCGTCTGCACTGTACCTTCAACTTAACTGGTGACCCTATTTGCCAAGCTAAACCGAAAAGCACTAGAAATTGGCCCCTTTCCCTAGTCGCTATACTATCTTCGCCAGAAAAAAAGACTTTGTATGAACAAATACCTCACGAATCTTCTCCGCCATTTCAGTGTCTCCTTGTTCATCACACTCAGCCGCTTGTTTAGCCAATTCCTGAAATACTATCAATTCATACTATCATCGATTTCAATAAAACTGATCAGTTGCCAAGTCTCTACAACAATACAATTCGAAGAAAACCCTTCACAATAGCCCATATTAAAGTTAGCACCAAACTTTGTGTTTAATTTTGATAGCTTTCAGGGCAGCCATTACTCCTTCACTCGAATCAGAAAAGGAAGGAAGCGATATTTAGAAGAAAACTGCTAGTTATTTGAAACACTGTATCAGAAGACGGAGTAATTCACTCTTATTTAATATGGAACTTCTGAAGTACAAGAACAGGCAAACTCAATCAACAATGCGAAATTTTCTCTCTGTTTATTGTCAAACGTGGTGAAGTATCGACACCTTTCCCTTTGCTTCGGAAATCAAGTTTATTACATCCTTGTTAAAACAAAGGACTAATCACAAAGCAAACTAGTAAAAATTATGTGGAGTACTGACCTCTCTCTCTTGTCTTCTCAGATCATTCAGGAAACTGTAATTGTCTTCGAAACACCTCTCCTTGAACATGCCTGCTCGACTGTCAAATCGTGGGTCCCTTCTCCTACAAGTCCAAGATTAAAACGCAAGCCACGAACAAACAGCGCATCCGCTGTATTCACCATATGAGGGATAAAAGAATTAGAAAGCATCCTAAACATCGCGAGGAGAAAACTCTTCGTGTTAGATTCTGAAGAATCAGGCTCGGGAAAGGAGTAAACCAAAAAGTGCAGCAGTTACCCACTTCTTCCTTTTCATGTCCTGATACAGAGGCCGAAAGACTGAAACGGGTTTCTTTGACGAGATTTCCTTTGGACGGTGCTGACCACGACGCTACAAGTAAAAAAATATTCATGAATCAGCTGACTAGAACATTGAATCGCTAAAGCTAACCTCCTCCTTTTCCTCATCTTTTGCTTTCTTTTTAAGCTGTTCTTTAGTGTCGTCATTAGCTTCTGTGCCGAAATAAGCTTTGTTGAACAACTTTAAACCAAGCTTTTCTTTGATTTCTCGAACTTTAGCCAGGGGCAAGTCTGCCATTTCTGAATAAAACAATAAGAAGGACAGCTGAAATGTAATGAGATAGATACAAAGAACTCAATACGTTATCATTCGAACTATGAAAAAGAAGCGAAGTAAGACAAACAACTGTAAGCACTGAAAACAAAACCAAAAGAAAAAGGCCGACTAACCAGCACGGAAAGCAGCCACCTCCTCCCGCTCCTCTTCCTCATCATTTTTCTCGCCCATTTCTGGCGGTACAGACACATTATCTGCATGATGAGACGGATTCTGATCGCGCTTATGCAGTTCTTCCGCGAAGTCGCTTTCAGAATCTTCTTGCTCTTCAAACTGGAATTTCACGGTGGAAAAAAGAAAAGATTTAGAAATAACTCCGAATGGTGAACGATCATAGTTCAATACACTGTTGATAAGGAACCACTAGTAACCTTATATACTGCGCGATAAAGACCAACCAGAGAGCTCATTCGACTATGATAAGAAATAGATTAGATAGGCTAGGAGTTGGCGATATAAGAGGCATATATGTATTTCTTAACACCGGCAAACGATCGGTGATTATCAAAAACTGTATATATAATTTTACCTGCGCTAGACCCCGGCGATTATCCTTCTTGCTTGTAGCAGGCTCTGGCTTCTCCTCATCACCACTGCTATCACTTTGTGCTAATCGTGAACTTCCACGACCAGTTGACCATTCTACAACATTTTCTTCCTCGTCATCCTCGCTGTCAGCAAAGTTTTGCTGAAATGGAACAAATCAAAATGAATACCAAGAAAAGCGTTTGTGAGAAAGCAGAAGTATTTTATTTTACAGTTCTTAAAAACCGACCTTTGAATTGAGCTTTCTATTTTTACTCGGCCTTTTCTTTGAAATACTTGTCATCTCGACATTTTCTTGCTTTATATCATTCTCTTCTACGGTATGTTGCCATGTGTTCAGAGTATTCGCCATTGGAACCTGAACAAATACAGACTGGGGACCTTTTTTTTCAAGAAAATGGCAATTTGTGTGATCCAGGGGAAGAGACAGCGAGCCGAGGCAGATGAATGAAGGAAACATCACAGCTTCCATAAGTGTGCGCCCTTTGCTTACCATCTTTTCATTCTCCAACACTGCTCCCACTCAGCAGATCACCCAAACGGTGGTTACAATACAGGTAAAAAGGGTTCTGAGTCACCAAGTCAAAGATCCATGTTAATGCAATTGACGACTGACTTCACGATCGCAAGTTCAATCGTGATGTTAAGTAGAAGTCGCTTCACTAACTTCAGGTAATCAAACTGTTCGCTCATCTCACTAAGCGCGAAAGCAACCAATGCCTGACACAAAAGAATTCCAAAATAAAAGCCAGAGAAACGGAAAACTTCGACATACCGTCAAGCATTCCTCCTCCTCTTCCTTTTTCACATCTTCAATCATATCGGACACATCCACAATGTCGTCATCAGATGCATACATTTCATCATCAGATCCACCAAGCATTTTGTGTTCGATGCATGTCCCTTTCACAGGTTTTCCACGTGGCTTCTTTCCGTTCTGCATGGCACCACCTTTCATTTTACTAAAGCATATTCTTATGTGCACTGCAACCATTTCACTCCACATCCCTATTAAATGGTTTTCGAATGACCGTTTGAATTCGAAAAGTTCTTACCCGTTCTTGTTTACTTTCCCATTCGGAAACTTTCCCTTATTTTTGCTGTGCGAGATACCCTCAGCATCTTCGCCCAAATCAGCCTAGATATACAATAATTTTGTAAAGAATGGTGGACAGCCCATAATCCATACGAGTCTAAACGAATAGCACAAGCGTCATAGGTCGACAACTCACAGTGAAATAGCGAGCAGGCTTCCGTTGCGGTACAGTGCCTCCGTACGATGCCTCCCGACCCTGAAACCTTACATCAGATGGAGAAGGTACTTCATAAATAGCCGCTGAAATCGGCTTCTTACAAGCCAGTGTTTACATGTCGTGTAAATGGGTGGCTCAAACGGGTTTGGCGAAGCTGGGCATCCCTCAAAATGACACCTCTTCTGATGCAGTAATCGTTACCATGGCGGCTATAGGAGTGCATTAAAAGGTACAGATTCAAAGCGGAGACAAGAAGAAGAACCCAAAAACAGAGGGCACATTAAACGCTTAAAATTGCCAACAGAAAGTTTAAGGTATGGTATGTTAGAAAGTTCAAAGTGATGAAGAAGAGACCATAGGGGCAGTGGGAGGTCCAAAAGCGTAAACTTCAATATCTTGCTTGTGTTCGTACCTATTATTCATTCATAGGCTTGGTAAAACCGATATTTGAGGCTAAGTTTCTTCAATTCCTAGATATATGAGTTGTCCTAAGTTCAGGGAGAGATGGGTAAGGAGTGCAAAAGCTTATACACACAAATCTGGCCTAACCACTTCCCTGGCCTTCGATTCTTGCCTTTATGTTGCCGAACCATGCATACGACAACTCAATAGTTCAGGAACTTCATCAACCTACAACCCACCCCTTCAGTGCACCCGCTTCATAAAAAAAAAGATAGGGAACGAATACCGTTCATTGGTAGATGTACTGCAATGGGATTCCCTAACCCTATTTCATTTCTAGATAGATCTTGGGAAATCTGAAGGCTATTTAATCATAAATCAACAGGAACATAAAGAAATTATGGCAACTATCGCAGTCATGCCTTTTCCAGCTTACAGATCCGGAATTCAAATTATTTGTCGGATTCGCCAGGAAAAAACTACTGAAAACACTTGCCTTTTTCTTAAACTTATTCTTCTTCATATTGAATGAGCTAGCTTTTTTCGGAAACGTTCTTCTAGGGGGTTCATCACTCATCTTCAAGGAAGACATTGTTTAGGAGAATTGGAACTCATTCAAGACACTGCTGTTTAAATTGCTGACCATAGCATTCAAGATTTCATAGGAGTAACCTAGATATTCCAAAACATCCTCAATGAGCTCGAATCGATTTATTTACAGAAACAAAAAACACTTTGTACAAATTGAGGCAAACAAGTACAAGTAACGAGCTAGATGAAATCTACCACAGGCGAGAATGCGTCAATTTGATGTGCAACACTGATAGAACTGATAGAAAATGTAGACAGAAAAAAAGTTAACCAGAAAGCGAATCGACTAGTCATATACATAAATTTGAAGCAAATTGTACATAAACTACATTGAGGAATTATTTGGCAAAAAGCAAACGTGTAGAAAACTAACAAGAATACCCAAACGGGAGCAAATCCCTATGCTGCTCACAGAATGTTCCGTATATTGAAAACCCTACTCTCAAATGCATTCTGAGTTCACTTAACCCAGAGTTACTACAGTAATACATTGACGAGATTCCTATTGGATTAAGAAAAGGACAGGTAACGGCTAAAATAAAGATAAGCAGAAACAGCCGCAGATGAAACGCGATCCGAAAAAGTAGAAAAAAGGGAGGCTAAAAAGAAATGGACAACGATATGCTCTACAATGAGTACTTTGAAAATTTTCCATGTGGTTCGCTTCATCAACCTTTCGGCCTGCCACATGGCGGTAAAGTAATCTCGTTACAGAAATTCCGCATGTTTCGTCCACACTGCGCAGCTGCACACTAAGCTTGCTAAAGCCTCCTCCCATGCAGTGCGAATGAGAAATTCCAATTTTCACTCAATTCACCACTATACCGATAGAAATCCGAATAAAATGCCCAGCATTATCTTTCTCAAACGTTAGGACTACATCACATACATGACACATGTTTACAGGTGAGAGTATTGTGGAATAGAGACATTGAAATCGCAAGCAAAGCAAAAATTTTGACAAATATGTGCATTACGCACAACAGCAAGCCATCGCGATACTAAGCGCAGAACAAAACCTTGTTCCACCTACAAAATCGTCATTGGTTGAGCTTCTCATGCAAAGAAAAGTACAAATAGCTGTTAATCCATGGAAAAAGAAAAAAAGATCCCAGGAAATCTGAAGAGATGCGAAATTATGCAAAACATGAAGCAAAGAGGCACATATGAAGAAATCATGCTTGCTCTTACACAAATTAGCGAAAATTGAAGCGGTTTTGCACATTATAAGAAAGAAAAAGGGTTAACGATTAGAAAAAAAGGAGAAATCGCTCTTTCGAGAGCTCGAAATCAAGTCTCACAAGAGCGCCTATAAACTACAAGTCCCGTCACCGACCTGCAATCGCCTCCAAATACCACGGTGCAATCTCCTTACAGTGGACACTTTGACTATTCCATCTTTCATACATTCATAAATTGCGGTGGAGAATCATCATCCTCGTCTTCTTCTCGTCGTCTACGTTCTTCTTCCTCGTCTTGACCACTTCGCTCCTCTGGCTCCTCTTCACTCGTTCCTGGCAAATTTGGACGGAGCAGCAGCCGACTGCGGACATCGCTCTCAGGTAGCACCGATTCTTAATGAGACTCGATTTACAGTATTAGGAACACCTTTCAATTGCTACGATAGCCAGTTCACGTCAGGTCTCCGTGATACGAATCAATATCCAAACTTAACCAGGCAATAGATATTTATCGAAGAAATCCACTCACCTTCCATCTGGCTAAGCTGAGGGACACCAAAAACACTTTGCGCATGAATACCAGCCACGCTTGCTCCATAACTGGGCACGGCCGCGCTGCTCCTCCGTAAACTTTCCTCGTGCATTTCGCGAAGGAACAAAGTCTTGATTCGCATATCGGCTCCAGCTGAATCTAGGTCGATGCCTGAAATGGAGTGGTAGCAGAACATCACTGGTTTCATGACATTTGCTTTGAAACTTAGAATATCACTATCAAAACCAAGTCTAATATCGCCCTCACCACTCTGCTGGAGACTGTGCGTTAATGAATCAGCTCCTTGAGGATTAGTTTGGTACAGGGTAGGAAGAAGACCACCCACAATTGAATCTGGAGCTACGGCATATGGATAACAACGATCCCCTGAACGTAACTTCTTTAATTGTTGAGAAAATTTAAGTATTTCGTTTGTTTTAGAAATTTCGCACATCATCTGCTTGACATATTTCCAAAACGGAATTCTGACCTACAGAGATTGTAAATGAAATGTGCAAAATGCTTATCATTCGCAATTATTTACAAGAATGGAAGAAGTGCATACCTATCACATTTCTGTAAGGTGCTGCTCTTATCGGCGGCATTATCGAATGCATTGAATCCAATAACAAATTCCGCTCGTCCTTCATTTCAGACGGCTGCAGAGTTGCGTTGAGATCACGTTCCAGCTAAAAAACCTCACGTTCAAGTTGAAGAAGACAACACCGCAACTGGCCTTATGTGCACTAACCCTACTCCTGAACCTCTTCAAAAACTGTTCTGTGGCAGGTGGACATTTCCAATCCGGATTGTTAGAAGCAAAGTGAAGTATAGAAAGCTCCGTTTTTCCATCCTGTGCCGGAGCTGAAAGCAGGGAAATACTGAGATATAAAAGTAACGGAAAAATGGAAATAACTAGTCAAAGCTTCAATCCAAAGATGTGTGACTATCAAATCTAAGTATTCTCAAATTCCGCACCCTCTCTACATGGCAGGAGATATAATTTAGATTTTCCTTTTGTAACCGAGGGTTCCACTATAAAACCAATTACCCCAAAAAAAGTTTACGAAGGCGAAGATACCAACTTCAACACCCAAAAACAGAAAGATACTTTGTACTGTATTCGGTGATTACCATCAGAGGTCTATTGTGTTGCTTGAAAATAGAGTGAGAAACAGACAAAATAAGACTTACCGGCAGTTGGATGCGAGGTTGAACCATTCCATTTCACATCACCATGCCTGGCTACATCCATTAATGCGTAGGAACACACGTCACCTAGCCCATCGACACGTACTGTATTGTCGTGAAAGAAACGAACCAATTCACGACAATTCGGTCGGATCCTAGAATTCGCCGGTACAAGAAATCAAAAAAGAAAACAGAGAAAAGTATCAAAGGTAAGGCAGGTGTGAAAAAGAAAATTGTAGCAAAAACTCTCAGTGATATTAGCCATGAGTGATAACTAACCAGAAGAGAAGGATAAATGGGGTGAGGATAGGACTGCTCAGCTCCTGCAGGAAAAACATCCACTTCAACTGGAACAGCTGCTCGAACTCACGTCGAACTTGTTCAGTATGAGCCTGAATTGAAACCACTGTGCTCCAGAGCGTTACTGCAGCTCACCTCCAGACTGCACGCTATTTAGGAATACCGAGTAAAACAAAGGCGCGATTGAGGAACAGGTTCTTTTTTTGAATGTTCGAAATTCTGCTATTTCATGAATTTGAGTGAATAGGTAAATAGTCAGCCAGTAGAAGCTACTCAACCTCAAAAGTTCCCCACTCTTAACGAGATTCCTTTCTGATGTCAAAAATTGAGTTCTCGCGTTTCGAGCGCACCTCGAGAATGCGATGCGAAAACCAGACTTCCTTACAGTTACGCAGAGAAACACAAGGTTTGAAGGGAGAAATCTAAAACCTCCATTATTCTACCCCTTCCCCTAATCTACGAATTGCTTCATATAGGTCTTTTATCAAAATTCCACATGAACAAACTGGAATCATTGAATTCAAATAACTAATTATCGTACCTGTCCCCTCCATTCCGTCGGTACGTAGTGTAATTCGCTTGCGATGTGTGTCATTAACGCTTCCGGTTGCCACACCAAATTCTCATCCGACATCATACCGTGGCATACCACCATAATGACACCACACACAGAGATCACTGTCAGGACATGCTCCACCTTAATGAAGAACGAAATTTTGAAAAGAATCGTTCTAACCAATTAGAGGTGAAACAGGACCTCTGGTGACTACTTATCCAGCAAGTCAAAACCACACACAGTTTTTGCACATAGTTTTTTTTTTATTTTGAATGCAGTCTCTGATTAACAAACTTTTTCGAACTTATTTTCCAAGTTCAGTGTTATACCGTCGAATTTATCACAAATGGAGAGGTTTTCCCTTACCGCTCTTTCACCGTCCAAGCACACAGCGGCAGAATAACCAATGTCGCAATTGCACGCACCCTTCCAACCTTTCGCTGCATCGTTTCCAGAATTCTACTATGTTTCCGAGCAATTGGCACATTTAAGGACCATCCAGAAAAGGTGACAAGAAGACTGCGACGCAGAAGGCTTGCGTGACACCTCGTGAGTCAAAGTCGTGTCCTCCTTAAAGCTGTCCCTCTCCGAAAAAGGACAAAATAGTTGCCAGCCACCTGCGCCTTGCGATCGCCTGTTTTCCAGAGAATCTGAAGAAGGGCACTCCCGTCCACGAAAGTGACACCAATAAAAAATGGATGAAAAATATCAAAAAATGCTAAAAGTGACTTGTACAGTACTATGTTGTCACGCTATCTCACGCATTTTATCTAATTTTTGCTAGTTTTGCTCGCTAGGTTGGGCTTCACTTCGGAACCGTGATTCTGCACCAGCCAATAATGATCACGGCGCATAGTTTTACCTCCATGCTATACAGAAAGAAACGAAAAACATCTCTAATAGAACCGGTTTGCAGGCCTCTACCTACTATAGTTAGACCTGTTTATTTATCTTCGGCGCCATCTCGCTAATTACGTAGATCTTAACGATCACCTTTCCTTCCTGTTGTTCACCGCAACATGTTTCTATATAGATTGGATGAATTAACTACAAACTTTTCAAATAAACCTTTAACCATGTATATCAAATGCTCAAATATCTGTAACATCATAATATCTATTGTCACCTTAGACCAACTCTCAAAAAATCAGAAGCGAAATTCTTTGAACGAATGTTCAATCAGTAAACAAGCCTTACCTGCAGAACGTCCTCATCCCAGGCTGACAGGACAGCCAAGACGCCAGCAACAGCTCCAGCAATGAATGCGATATTTTTAGCGAAAATTTCTGTTAAAGCAGACGTGAATTGGTTCAAATAAGCATTTGCATGATAGTGTGATCTGTTTAATCGCGTCGTCAGCTCATGATCGAGCTCATTGAAATGCCTTAGACGGTACCTAAAACGGAGACAAATTTAATACTTTCTTAAATGTGATCTGTAGAAAAAAGAAAGGAAAGAACAGAACTCTCACCTTCCATAATTCGAATACCTGCGCATCCCCAACGCATCTCGACGACGTTTTATAAGCTCAGATAATGTGAAAAATGAGTACAAAATTTGATAGAGGAATGTCAGCGGAAAGAAGATCAGGTTCAAAAGCCCATACATAGCGACCTCAACACCAGTTATTGACAGCATCCAGGCAATTATCAAGAAAGGTTTACAAAATGAAAACAACAGAAGTTAAACAACAGGGTCTGAACCGAATACTCACATCTTTCTCCATTTGTCTTGTCAATAGTTCGAGATTATCCAAATCTTTATATTCATCTTTCAAATATGGTCCGGCCCAAGGCGACGTAGACCTACAATGATACTTTCATATGAGTCATGGCATCCCTCACAAAAATTATAGAATTTAATGTACCCGAAAAACAGGATTCGCCGCAAGTTCGACTTTAATCCGTTCGGTAAATAGGGCACGGGACCAATAAAAGGCACATTGAAAACCGGTGGAAGAACTCGCTAAAAAAAGCTGAACCATTCACACGTAGTGAAAGCAACACAGGAGCTTCGAAAGAGAAAAACAAGCAAAATGAATTTCGACAAAATCCACTTACCGTATTTACCAGAGCGACTAGATAATTTTTGAACCTAAGTATTCTATTGTACAAGTCAAATGGAGTTATATTGTCACGGTCCACCTTCAGATGCAGATGTTTTTGCACCTACAAAATTTCATCAGGATGCTCTGCTACTCAAGTAATGAAGTAGGAAAAGAAGGCAACATCAAAACCGTCAGCTTAATTTTACTTAGAATATAGTTGAGAACTTTTGCGACACACACCTCACAAATACGTTGAACGACGTCTTGCCATTTAAGATTTGACAACTGAGCATCTTTGATAACCAAAGCGGAACGATAGAAGAGTTGGATCTAAAAGTGAACATGATCTACTGCCCATTTTTGCTTCTATGTTTCATTTTGAGAAAAAAAAANAAAAAAAAAGAAACAGAATCGTTTCAAACCATCACCCGCGCCGATGAAAGAATTAAAATTCGGAAAAAAGGAAGTTAGTCAAGTTACCTCGTGCAATTCCAGCAAATAGTAAGTCGTTTTCACAACACGCAGAATCCAAAAGATAGTCGCCACAAATATTGAGAACACCACAAGCGGATGCAGGTGACTAGCACAATTGGCAACAATGGCGTCCTGCAAAATTACTGCATTATTAAGTACGATCTTCACAACATAATGAGAAATAAATGATTTCAAATAGTTCAGGCAGTGCATTTACGATGAAAATATAGCAGACTTTGATGACAATAGAATCTTGTTCACTTCACTCTTTTGGAAAATCTCATTACATGGCCACGTTCTATGGTGTAGTGATTACCGAATGCCAGAAAAAAAATAATCATACTAAATGTCTCAAGCCGTTCTAGTACTTAAATAGCAAACAGGCTAGATTTCGGGGATGAATTAGAAAGTCTTTCACAACTCACATCAAAGCTTCGTTTTCCCGTAATTTTTTCACCCGTAGTAGTCATATTTTTATTTGCGAAAAGAACTTCGTAGTCAATGCATTGCAAGAAAAACGTCGAGAACGTCTGGAAAATGTTCATTAATGTGTAAATATGGTGCCCAATGAATAAAAGTCACGACAAGATGTTTGAAAAAAAAGGAACAGTAAATAGAATTTATATTACTACTTACCACGACAAATACAAATTGGACCAAACTAAACAGTTTTTTGACGGCTATCGTCAAGAATCCACCACCTTGATGATACTCGTAAACTAGCGTGAAGAACTTAAATAGTATATTTATAGCAGTAGACAAGGAACCGTCAATGGGGAAGAAAGTCAAGCAAAAAAATCAGCGAACAAAGACTCTCGTTAATCGAATAAAATGACGAACCCTGTCCAGATTTTCTATGTGGTCCCATCGTTGTGCGGATGGTCGAGTGGATGACGACATTGCCGGTGGCGTATGACGTCCAGTTTCATCATTCAATGATGATCTCATAGCATGACTAGAAGGCGGCGATTGGTAGCCATCGCCTGGTGTCGAAGTACCAGATATTCTGTTTAAAGAAAACTCATTGAAGAAGGAATTGTACAGAAATGTCTAGGTCCCTACTTCCGTGCAAGACTATCAAGCGACTCCTTTAAGGGCAATGAAAACCAAGTTGCTGTGGCCATGTGAGGGTTTAGAAGTACTGGTAACTAAGAAGAACGATAGATAAGAGATGGGAAAGTGCAAGCGAGGTTTATGGGCCGAAAAACGGCTTGAGCACACCGTTACGGTTCACGTCACAGCAAATTAATCTTTACAGTCACATGTATTGCTTGAAATCATGGTCATTATAAGCCCAAAGAGCTATAAAGAAGAGAAGCCAGGGTTTTATCACAATGACTACTTTTCACGAGCTGTTCAAACATATAACGTTAGCTAGATGCCACCAATTCAGACATTCGATCGGGTCGAAAAAGGTTATACAAAGAAGAGTAGACCAAAAACTCACAAAGGTGATGCCTCTGAATTATTAGGTCCAGCACCAAACAGCATGTTGCGCCCCGTAGTTACAATTGGTAAGATCGGACCACAAGCGCTTGCTCTTTGACTTCCGTCTTCATACTCGTCATCAATTCGCTGAAGATAAGTGTAAGATAATGAGGGCACTACGATGCATGGAAGTTACTAGTAGCGCCTAGAAGTCACTATCTGTCTCTTCCACATAGATATTTACCCATAACTAAAAGTTGAAAAGAATAAGAAATGTATTAACTCCCACCGATTTTGTGCTCACAGTGGAAGGTTTCTCTAAGCCAACCTTTTTGATAAAATAGAAACAATAGAAACGAAAGTCTTACTTGTCCGCGCCAATACATTGATTTAGTAACTACCCGTGCTATTCTACACGGATAACTATGGAACTGCGTTTATTGGCCAGCTTAAACTGAGATGTCCGCGACAATACAGCGTCAACGTATTGATCCTAACCGAGGTTGGTGCGCAGGGCAGCACTCTTGAGCGGCGACAGTTTCTTATGAAGGCTTCTTTTCAGCTTTGTCATGCTTTTTAAGGTATTCTATTGTTTTCGCTATATCTCGTAAAAGTAATAAACCTCCGTCGTTTGAATTTTTTCCACTTTAACGAATGAAAATTGATTGTGGACTCTTCTTCGATTCAATTTTTCCAAGCACGCAGAAAACCCCAACTGATGTAAACCCGTATGCGGCATTTCGGACCCGTCGCTAGCAGTGGGAGTTGACAAACCATCATAGGTATTTTGAACAACACAGACGGAAAAGGAGGCTCGAGGGAAGGGTAAAGGCTCACCTGATACGATCTTTGATTCCTGGATGACCAATTCAACATGCGGTTGCAACCACGCGTAAACGAATTCTCTGAAAAACCCTTTTGTAATCGAATCAATAATTTGTACAATCAAAACGCCTTCGTTGCAAAGATATAAAAACGATGATTCTGTCGTGCTTACGATAACAATTACGAAATATTCTCAGCCGATTTGATAAGAACTTCCAACTTTTTGCGAAATATTCTTGAACAAGCAAAACCAACAAACCCTACGTCAGCGCATAGTCAGCTAAAAAAATGCCGACTCAAGCGATAGTCAGAAAATGAAGTGGAACGGAGGCGATACAGTTCACAAAGCTACAACAATCCAGATAGAATTTTCCCGATATTTGGTTCGATTACGATTTCTTGTAAGCGAATAGAATTTGTACTACCAGTCTTTCGATTCAGCATTTCTTAGGAGAGGTTTTAACGAGAACTGAGTGCCTGCGGAGCCTGTTTCCACTCACTGTAGGAAGATTCGTGTTTCTTTCTTCTTTACTCTTCATTGTATTCAAAACCACTAACATGGACTATTCATCTTGTTTAAAATAGGTAACAATATGGTGCAGTATCTTTGATAACTGCAGGAAGGTGAAAACTTCTACACTATGGTAAAACTGGAAGGCAGAATCTAACAAAAATGGGATGAATGCAGGGGGAAATGATTAGTTCACGAATCCACTTATATTGAAGTTGTATGCAGTCTTTCAAACGTGAGAGCAAGGTAGCTGCACTATTTCAGCTTATGATGAGGGCCAAAAAACCCCAAGTTGAAACACTCAATGTCAGAAAAGCTCGATTGAAAAACAACAGGCAAATTTGAATAGCATAGAGATGATATAACGATCCCAAAAAGGTAACAGAGATGAATGCAGAGAAAAAAAAANNNNAAAAAAAAACCAAGGTTTTCCCAGCCGTGTTCCAACAAAACATGCTTAGTGGAACAAAATTTGATTATTGAATGCTTCAGACTTGAATAACTCAGCACTGGATCCACATCAGTTCAGTGCGAGTACACAAGCGAAACAGATCGATCACGTGTACGTCACCTGTTTAAAAGAGGATGGCACCAAAAATCAGCTGACACTATACTGGAGGCGGTGTTTGCTGTCCGGGAGGCCCATTAGTTCACAACAAACTGTATCGCACTGTTTTTACAGCGGTCGCGAAGCAACTTTCGTGCTGGGGCGCGTCAGCCTTCTTTTTTTTTGTAGGGTAAGCCGCAAATCCACTTGATCAAGAGGTACATTTCATGCTTGCTTTGCTTTTTCTCGTAAAACTTCTGATGATTCCTCTTTGTCGAGTCGATCCAACTAGCCAGATGTTGTCTTACACTGTGGCACTGAAAAGTAAAGGCAAGTAAATGATGCCGTATTTGCAACAGTTATCGTACTGACTCATTCGAAAGAAAGGTGATCAAAAAATAAATAAAATCCATATTGTGGAAAGTGCATCATAATAACACCAGTCATGGAATAGCTTCTATCGATTCCACGATGATCAATCCAGGACCAAACGAACAACCAACATTATCTCGAGAAGCAACCAATTCTTTTTTCTCTACAACTTTTAGCAATTATTTTACGACTAGTATTACGGTGGTAATTTACGGACATCTTTTGTTTATGTTCATGTTACTTTATGACTGGTAAAAAGTTGTAATCGTCAGTAATGGTTTAATGAATTTTAAAGCCTTTGCATAAATTATTCTGTTCCTTTTCCTCCCCTTGTCGATAAATCTAGGAAAGTTGTTCGGTTATAAGCTGTTCGTTGCTGAACTAAAGACCAGATGACAATCTCATTTTCTCTTATCACTATACTTCACCCTGCTGTGATCAATATCTTCATTATCCATTGTTCCCGAAGAACGGTGTCAGTCGGTTGGAAATAAATCAGGAGCCGCTACAGTTTTACTTTCTCCTCTCTGCTATACTTTAGAATAGTAAAAGATCTGGGAATTTATGGGAACTCAAAAAGACTTTATAGGAATACTTCAGAAGAGAGAGGCTCTTAAAAGTATCGAGTCA